GATCTAATAGTTTTTTTAACTCAGGTGAGTCTCTATATGGTGCCTATGTTTATCAGAGCTACACAGTTGAGCCCTGCTGTTATTGATAAGATGGATGTGCTTTCCCAGAAGGTAAACGGTTTGACTTGTTGTCTTATAGTGTAAAAGGAATTGTTTCTTTTTTTCAGATCATACCCAAAATCGATGGAATTCGTTGTGTTAAGGAGATTGCCACTGAGGTGGAGATCGACGCGGATTTGGTGATGCGTTGTGTCAGGTATGGCGTCTGCTGGGCTTTCAGTAGTGCAAGTGTTTCAGTCACTGATTTTTCCAGGAATTTACATTTTTACGAATGTGTCAGCTTGGTTCCACTATTCTTGTACTCGAATACGTATGTTGCAACGGGAAAAGCTCATGAGTTCTACAATAATCCATCGGAAATTCAGGTATTGCTGTTTAAATTTTATTTTGGGTTGAATGAAGTTATTTGTTTTGCTTTTTAATTGAGCATCTGATTTGATTATCTTCTTCTTCTTCTCCCTAGTTTAGTCCCGCGCAGTCGCAGGGTCTGCTGTCTTTAGTAGTCGTCGCCACTTTGCTCTGTCCAGGGCATCTTCTGCTGTGGCCATGACTTCACTTAGGTCCTTCTTGATCACGTCTCTCCACCTCTTCTTTGGGGCTCCTCGCGGTCGCTTGCCTTGCACTTCGAAGTCCATCGCTTTTTTATCGGATGATCCTGTGGCCTCCTCAGCACATGCCCATACCATCGCAGCGTTGCTCCCAGCCTCAGTCGGCGGCCGTCATAACCGCTCGGACATCCTCGTTTCTGACCTTTTCCAGCCGTGTCTAGCCGCATTCCCATCTCAGCTCCTCATTTCAGCGGAGAGAAGCTGCCTTCTGTGGTTCTGGTTTAGGGGCCAGCGCTCGCTAACTTCCGTATAGCACCACAGAAGCTTACCATTGTCCGGTACACCTTTCCTTTAAAGCGTTCCAGAGCACTTTCGATCGCAGAAGATTTCAGCACTGCTCTTCATTTCATTAATGCCGCGTTGATCCGTGCTCCCACTGCCTCGATCCACGCAACCTTCAGCGGCTAGATCGCTCCCAGAGATCGTAAGATCTCCACTCTTTCGATGCATCCCCATAATCACCCACGACCGCGGGGACATCTTTGCACTTCTCACAGGAAACTCGAGTAAATTGGTTTTTTTTCGTGTGAACTGGAACATCGCCCTGGCCAGTATTTTCACTACCTTTGTTAGCCCCTTGCGCTGGACTACTTAGTTGAACCAGCCGCTGTACACTTTGATGATATGAGCAGTCACTGTGAATCCCACTAATGTGCTTGTTTCTCCAACCATGTGAAATTGCAGCATCTTTTCTCAACCGCCGCTACCGTGTGCAGAAAGTGAGTGAGCCACCTTGTCCTGTACCTCTGGACCAACTGTCTCACCCTCATCCTCTGTCCAGAGTTGGGTGGGACCAGCCGTCGCGTCTCCTTGCTGTTCTATGTCGGTAAAACTCTCCCGTTCGGAAAGTACCTACTGTTGTTCTTTCTACTCTGTTTGACTTTGGCTGTCTTCCCTCAAAAGGACTGTGCCGTCGCAGTTCTCGCGCTCTTCACCACCCTGATGTCTTGAGTATTTCGGTGCCGAGCATGAACTCGTTTGTAGACCAACTCCGACTTCTCGTACGAGGACTTCATTTCCGTGTTCTTTGCTTTGGCGACAACTGCCTTAGCACCTCTTGTAGCCGGCGAGGTCGTCAGGGCTCCGTGTCTTCTGCCAGCGCTTGTATACTTCTTTTTTTTCCTCTTCACGACTCGCTGGACTTCCTCGCTCCAGAACCACGCTGCCTTTTCTCCCCTGATTCCACCTCGTGTCTCGCACAGTACCTCTTTTTGGCGCATTGTAGAATAACCTTAGCGGAATTGTTCCTCGTCAGCTGTATTGGTCCGCGTTGATCTGTGGGGCTAGCTTCCTGTACCTTTGTTTGAGGCCTTCCTTCCGCTCGGTGCAGTTTCCACCACCGAATTCTCCGCTCAGTTCTTAGCCTAGCCTTCTTTTGGAGGCTTATCGTAATGTCTGCCAGGAGGGGACTGTGTTGGGGGGTCAGTTCTTTGTGAAGGGTGCATTGACGTCTTTCATCGTTTTGAGAGATATTTTTGCGGGGATAAGGTCGGTTTCCGTTGTCTCCCTCCCTGCTGTAGGTTACCTTCTGTCCTTTTCGCGAAGAACGTGCTGCAGGCTGCCAGATCGTGGGCTGTAGCCAGGTCCAGAACCCTCTTTCCCTCGGCGTTCCTCGTCCTATCCCTCCACCTCTCTCACTTTCGGGATTACTGGCTTACGGGTGTGTATACGGAGTGATTCGTGTCTATTCTCTAGGTGATGGCTCGATCGCTGATCCTGTTAACAGTAAAGACGTGATTCGTGAGAGATTCCGCTACCGCTATATCCTCGGGATTACGCTGGGTATCCTCTTTATTGTATTAGATCCAGTCAGCTTCCCCGATTTTGGTATTCCCAACTCCCTTCCATCGTGTCTCCTGGACACACATGGCTGCCATGACATGACATGGCTCGGTAGCCTGGCATACTGAACACAGAACTCGGGCGGGTCTGTGCACCACTTCGATGAGTCTTAGCTCTGACACTGATTCATTTGCAACTTTTGAGCCCTTTCATTGTGAAGGGGGTCTTTATCGATCGGCTTATGAACCTCAAAAGATGTTCATAAGATGTCAGCTGTATCTCAATGTAGAATCTCATCACTTTTCGGGGACATTATGTAACAGTTTTGACCTCCACTGAAAACCTTCCAATTGTCATCAGTCCTTTTTGCAATTTTTCCGAAACTACATTTATGATACCATCAAATATGACTCCTCTCTCAGACCTTCCCGCACTCTAGAATCCTCATTCTTGTCTCTCACTGAACCTCAGTTGAATGTGCTTTTGAATGGCACCAGAACTGACCAGTGCATTTCTGGGATATTGAGTGACATCTGCTTTGGGCCATTTATGTGCTGATGTGTTTGTAACCTTTCTGCGCGGCCTCGCCTGATATAAGGAGAAATACTTTGTTTAGCGATCGCGCTTAGTTGAGGATCCTAACAGATAAGACTGAGATCATTATTCTCTGGAGGACCACAGAGTGGTTCTGGAGGACCAGCACAGAGTGGGTCATGCTAGGGAAAAAGCGGTTCCTTATTTACCATTTTAAAGCGCTCAGATCTCTCGGTGCCGAATGTGCGGCTAGTACGAGAATCGTCAGTACAGAATGCT